GGTCCAGTCCTTGTTTATCCATCCTCTGGCTGTGTGACCTTGGGGCAATCCCTTCCGAACGATCTCTGGGATCTTCAGCTTTCCATTCCTGTCTTTTCAGTCCCCCTTTCTCCCTCTTTCTCTAAACAGCATTTATTGCTTGTGGGTCCAGACAGCCCACAGCCAGACTGTAGAGTTTTGGAATCAGACAGACTTGGTTCATTACACTAATTTACTTTGTGATTTTAAAAGCATGTATTAGACTTCTTCCAAACGCATAACATTGCCATGCAAAGAAATAAGACTTGGCCACTCCCTTCAAGTTATTGGCAGAAAGGAAATAAGTTTAATAAAATATTCTGTTGTAAAACGTAAGATATGTGGGTAGAAAGAGACCACCAAAGAAGGATGTGGTCGATGCTTCCAAGAAGAGGGATACTATTTAGAATCTTCCAAGGATAAGTGTCTATCAGATTGATGCAAGAAGGGAGATAGAGGGAAGGATTTTCCTAACTGACTTGTAATCATCCACATGTCCATACTCTGAGCTCTGTTTTACCTAATTGTAAAATAGTAATGACTACCTGTTTTTTTGTACAAAGGTGCTAAGCATAGGGCATGACCCATATGGTATTCTGTGAACAGCTCTGTTCTTGGTTCCCCCGTGAGGCCATGGGCCTGAACTCGGTGCTTTCTGATTCCTTCCCTGCAGACTTATGCCAGATTTACTGGTGCTCCACTCAAGGTACACAAGATCGCCAACCCTTGGCGAAGTCCTTCAGGTATCCAGTCCCTAGGGGATAAGGAAGGGAGTGTGCAAGGGGAGGAGCAGGAAACAGGCAGTAACGTAATACAAATACATATGAATAAGCAGCTAAGGATCTGGTGGGCATACTTCTTTCTCAATGTCAGGAACTCTGCCTGCCCTTCGGACCACTCATGGAGAAGTCATCTCGGTACCACACAAGATCATCACCCACCTTCGAAAAGAGGTAGGTGGCTTGAATGGGGGTCTGCAAGTGAGAGAAGTTCAGTCAGTTCAGTGCAAAATTAATTTATTGAGCACCAGACATATGCCAACCTCAACACAGATGACCCAGAGCATCAAGGAGCACACATTCTGATGAGGAAGACATACACATTGTCACTGTGATGTAATAAAAACAGAGATTAAGCCCAGAGCACCATGGGACCATCCAGGGGCATACTTCCTTCTGCAAACTGGGCAGGGAGGGAGAGAGGCATAGACTGATAACACATGGAAGAGAAAAGAGAGTAGCATTTGGCTCTGATGAGGTCCTCAAAAGTGGGACTCAAAAGTACTTCTAAGGGTTACGTCTCTGTTTTCAAGCACTAGTTTGGGCTAGATATGGGGCTTAGGATGAACAAGGCTTGGAGTCAGGACAGGGAATTAGAATATTGCAAGAAGAATAAGAAACTGGGTGCAGTGACAGGCCTGTTATCTTAGCAACTCAAGAGGTCAAGGCAGGAGTTTCATAGGTGCAGGGTCAACCTGGGCAATTCAGCAAGATCCTGACTCAATATAAAAAATAAGCTGGGGATTTTGCTTAGTGGAAGAGTGCTTTACCTAACATACATAAGATCCTGGGTTCAATCCCCAATGCTGCAATAAATAGATAAATAAATAAAAGGGCCAGGGGTATAACTCAGTGGTAGATTGCCCCTGGGTTGAAATTCCCAGTACTGAATGGGAAAAAAAGAGTGGGAGTTCTAGGCTGTGTTCTTTACTCTTACTCTGTCATTGACTCTTGATCTGAAAGCTTCTTATTTATAAAACTGGAGGATTTGGGCTGGGGATGTAGCTCAGTTGGTAGAGTGCTTGCCTTGCATGCACAATGCCCTGGGTTCAATCCCCAGCACCACCAAAAAAAAAAAAAAAAAAACCCACAAAACATCTAGAGGATTTAATAAGCATGCTCTTACAAGAGTTCTAGCCTGGTTCCACATAGAACACATTGTCAGAAATGGGACCCTCTTTCTCATTTGTACTTTCTCAGGCAAATTGTTGGGGAATGAGTGGAAGCTTGAGAGGCTTGGAGAAATAAGATCTAGATAAAAGCCAAATTTCCTGTCAGGGCCTGGGCCACTGCCGTGATTCCTTATGATGAACAGAGCTTTTCCAGATTCCAAGAGTTTTCTCCTGAATTATTTCCTAATAACCATATGAGAGAAAGAGATTACTACCCTGATTCCACAGGGGAGATACTGAGGTCAGAGAGATTTAAGGATCATGCACAAGAGGGTATGCAGGGACAAAGTTTACTCAGGATGTGGAGGGGGGTGATTAGAGGCTGAAGCTTGGGAAGGCAGAGCAGGTTAGACCTGGGGGAGCGGGTGGAATGCGTATGTGGTGGTGGTGGTGGTTCCAAGGCCATGGAGTGAAGTGGAAGAAATAGTCAAAGCTGGGCTGTGAGGGAACAAGCCAGGGGGTGCTGAGCATGATGAGCTCGCTGGGTCCAGGGAGTGTGGAATGGCATCCCCTATTCCTGAGGCATGGGCTAAGGCCAACCTGCATCTGATCTCCACTCGGCTAGCTTTGTGGTGTCTGGTTCGGTGAGGTTGCTGTTAGAAAGTTGTCGTCAGCAGGCGTGCTGCCAGCTTTCCGTGGAAATTCTGGGAGCTGCTCCTAGTTTGTGGCTGGGCCTTCCTTCCTCCCCCCAATGGGCGCAGGACCTTGACGGCCAGCAGGCTCCAAGGCCCAGGCTTTCTGCCAACAGCAACAGGCTACCGGCTGGGCTCAGGCAAGGGGGCCTCAGTGGGAAAAGCTCCTTGTTGTACCTCACTACACTCAGAGGCCAGTGAGGGAGGGTACCATCCCTTCCCTCTTTGGGAAGTACCCATGCAACCCCCCAGTGTCTGCCTCATGGGTATTTCTTCAACAGAAGTACAATGCCGATTACGATCTGTCAGCCCGGCAAGGGGCAGACACCCTGGCCTTCATGTCTCTCCTAGAGGAAAAGCTGCTCCCAGTGCTGGTGAGTGCGCCCAGATCTCCTAGCACTAGTGTGGCCTTATGGGGGAGGTGGTCATGCCACACCCACACGGAGACACAGAGCAGCATGGGCTGAGTCAGGACGGTGCGTTGGTTTAGCCTTCCTTTTCCTTCTTGCTTACCCAATCCAGATACATACTTTTTGGATAGACACCAAGAACTATGTGGAAGTGACCCGGAAGTGGTATGCAGAGGCAATGCCCTTTCCCCTCAACTTCTTCCTGCCTGGCCGCATGCAGCGGCAGTACACGGAGCGGCTACAGCTGCTATGTGGGGAGCACAGACCTGAGAACGAGGAAGAACTGGAGAAGGAGGTAGCTCTGGGATAAGGGGCTGTTGTATGACATGAACCCCAAGGACGATGGCCAGGAAGGGAGTGCCCAGGAGGGGAGGTAGTGGTTTCCACAGCTGCAGCCTACCTGTGTTCTCCCTATAGCTGTACCAAGAAGCTCGGGAGTGCCTGACCCTTCTCTCTCAGCGCCTGGGCTCTCAGAAGTTCTTCTTTGGAGACGCGTGAGTCTGATTCCAGTGGTGTAATGGGTGGCTCAGAAGAAGATGTAGAGGCTGGGGCTGGGGCTAGGGCTGGAATGGGCTCGGGCTCTGGCCAAGAGATCCTCAGGACAGACACTGGCTCTGGTGATAGTAGGGCTGTGTGTGGGGCTGAAGCCTCCTCAGTGGTATAGGAGGGTGGGGTGGGAGGACAGCCAGGCACAGGAGGGGCCGGCAGGGCTGTAGGGCACTCAATGTGCCCTTTATGCAGCCCAGGGATAGAGCCCCATTCAGGGCCAGGCTGGCGCCACCTGGGGAACCCTCCCCATTCCCAGGTCTAGAACTTTGTGTCCTGGCCTCCTGTGGTGGCCTCCCTGCTTCCCAGAGCCCACTTTCCAAGGCTGACTCTTCCTCTAGCTCCATTTTGACCCTTTTGTCCGGTGGTCCCCCTCCATCTCACCTTCTTCCTCTGCTCCAGCCCCGCCTCCCTGGATGCCTTTGTCTTTAGCCACTTGGCCCTGCTGCTGCAAGCCAAGCTGCCCAGTGGGAAGCTGCAGGCCCACTTGCGGGGGCTGCATAACCTCTGTGCCTATTGTGCCCACATCCTCAGCCTCTACTTTCCCTGGGACGGAGGTAAGGGGCAGATGGGAGGAACAACCCTGGAAGAGGGGGCCGGGATCCAGGATCCCCTGCCCACCTTCCTCCTCTTCCCTTCAGCTGAGGTGCCACCCCCACGCCAGACACCAGGAGGCCCAGAGACTGAGGAGGAGCCATATCGGCGTCGGAACCAGATACTGTCTGTGCTGGCAGGCCTGGCAGCCATGGTGGGCTATGCTTTGCTCAGTGGCATTGTTTCCATCCAGAGGGCAACGCCTGCCCGCACCCCAGGCAGCCGGGCCCTGGGCATGGCTGAGGAGGATGAAGAGGAATGATTTGTCCTCATGTTCCTAGGACTGATTTTTCTACTATCATGCATTCCAGAGGCCCCTTAGCCTCCCCACTATTGGTATAGCCAGAAATGGGGTACTGCCCCCAAGAATAAAGCTGCTCACACTGACTGCAATCATTCTCTCCTTTAAGGGAAGTCCATTTTCCTAACATGTGCCATGGGAGCATCTGGGTGCTTGAGTCTACCCACGGCTCTTGGCTCCTGCCCTAAGGCTGACAGTGCTTCTGCACCGGCTCACTCTTGCATCTCCAGGAAAGACAAATAGTACCTAGCTTGGGTCTAGCTTTCCTAGTCTCTCCTTTCCCTAACTCCCACTCCATCTGTTTTAATACAGACAGTGAGCTCACCCTGGGTCTAGGCCCAGTTTCCACAGGATCCAGCACACAGCATAACCTAACACAAGCGAGCGGAGTGGGGGGACACTAGGGTTTCCTGATCTTTCTCTAGGGGCCTCAAGCCCCTGGCACCCACTGGACAGGAGAGTGAGTCACCCAAACCACTGCCCAAGGGCTTACGTCACTATAAGCTCACCCCAGCCCTGCTGTGCCCTCTTTAGCCATAGACAGCATGTAAGCTGACTCTGTCCCTTTAATGCCCATGCTGAACCCAGGTCCTTGCTTGGGTATCTGCTCCATCACTGGCGACGCCACAGGTAGGTATGAATGGAATAGCCAGGTGAGATGGTCTCCAGGGAGCCCACAGCAGGATCCTTGATGGTAAAAGGCACATCCTTCGAGGACCTGGGGAGGAGAGGAGAAGCTGAGAGTGTGAGTCGGCTGAGACCCACCACTGGTCCCAGCCAATCCTAGACCTGCTCTCACCCTTACCGGTTTAGCACAACCACAACTGCAGAGCCATCAGGATGCATCAGTGCCACTGTTTCCAACTCGGTCTTCTCACTGGCCACTAGTCCAACTCTTTGGGAGCCTTCAGGAATGAACTTGCTAAATGTGAGAACAGGCATCATCAGGGACCTCAGCCAAACCCATCAAACCCTCGTCTAAGAACTCAGCCACCCAGCCCCCACCCCACCCATAAGTCCTACCCAAACTCTGCCCTAACTCTATAGGCCTCGAGCTATACTGCTGGGCCCTGACCCTGACCTCCTGCATCCCTGCCCCAGCATCAGGCACCCAGGGGTTGTGTGTGTCTCTGATGCCACCTAGTTGCTTCCTGCCTACATGGTGCAAGAGAGGATGGGCGTGTCTCTCCCAGTGTTGCCACCCTAAACGCCTTCCTGCTCCCTCCTGGTATGGAGTGATGTAAGCCCAGCACAGGTGATGATAGGCCTTGTGTGGAATGGGGGCACCCACCCTGTACTCACCTGAAGTGGCCCAGGTGGTAGAACATGGGCTGTTTGTAAAACACATCTTTGGCAATGTCTACAATGATGGGGCTGTCCACAAAGTTGCGGACCCAGTTGGGCCCCCCTTCAGGATTCAGGGCAAAGTTCCAGTCAGTCCAGCCAGTCACGTGATAAAGGAGGTTCTGGAGTAAGGACAAGAGCAAAGGAAAAAAGGCTCAACACAGAGGGAGCTGGGGGCCTTCAGTGGCTCAGCCCTATGAGGGGGGAATCCTTCTCCTTAATTGTTTCGAAGGGGGTAGTACTGGAGATTGAACCCAGGGTAGCCTACCACCAAGCTACACCCTAACTCTTCTAATTTTATCTCACTAAGTTTCCAGAATGGCCTTGAACTTTCCCTCCTCCTGCCTCAGCTTCCCCTGTAGCTGGTATGACAGGTGTGCACCATCATGCTCGGCTCTCTCACTAGAGGGGTTTATGAAGATGGAGGCATTTCAAGGGAAGCTGAGAAACTGGAGGCAGGGCCCTGAGTATATGCTAAAGGGTGATGAGATGTGAAGGAAAAACAGAATAGACTCAATATCCCAAAATTGCCCCAGAAGGCAAGATGGCAAGGAGGGCTCTCGATCTTTGGTAAGGGGTTAGAGATGTCTGCTTTGCAGGATGGGAGACAGGGGCTCACCGTGATGATGCTGTGACTGTACTGCATTCCTCGATCCCAGGAGCCTAGGCGCACACTCTGCTCCCAGAACTTGGAGCCCACACAGGCCTCTGAGGCAAAGAGTGTCATGTTCGGGAACAGCCGGTGTGTCGCCCCCAGGGTGGATTTTGCTGGAGCCAGGAAGTCCAGATACCAGTGTACAGCAATCCCATGGATGTACTTGGCTGCCTCTGGGTCTGCCAGTACCTGCACAGGGAAAGGGAAAGACAACTGGGGAAGGGGAGCCACTGACACTGAGCCCTGCAGAGAGGGTTCTGGATGAGGAACTAGGAGTCCTGAAAAATGGGTGGTGTGGTGAATGTAAATAGATGGGATTAAGGGAACAACCACGGGGTCCTGGATGTCTGATGAGGCTGGTGGCCTAGACACCTGGACCCAGTCCAGAGTACTACAGAAGTCAAGAGTTGGGGCAGGGAAGGCAGTCTTAAGTTTGGAGCCAATCATTTGGATGGCATATTTGGGGGTCACTGGGACACCCATGGAGATATTGGGCCTTACCACCTGTGCCCAGCGGGGCAGCAAAAGGCGTTGATCATCTAGCATGAACAGCTGGACATCACGGTGAGTACTGTTGGCAAGGGTTGGACCCAAGTCACGGGCAATGAAATCTCGCTGGTGTTCAGCGGTGAAGCCCAGGCATTGGAAGGGGTACCCACTGATCAGCCCTGCAGAAGGCTCATTCTCAGCCGTCACTGCCCAGAACTTTAACCCGTACGCAGCATAGGCATCTAGAAACCTGGAGAAAAAGGGCATGAGCAATCATGGCCAAGAAATTAGACCAAGACCCTGGGGAATAGAACCCTGACCAACAGGCCTGAGTCTGCAAGGCCCAGAAGGTAGGAATATAAGCTGAGCAGAGTCAGATCTGGAAGTAGAAGCAGGTAGAATTGGAACATAGACCAAGGTGTCCAAAGGGTGGGTTGGTTGAGGCTCCATGGCCTTGATGATCCCTTACTTGACAAAGTACTTGGCCCAGGTCTGGTGGTAGATATCCCCTGGGTGACCCTTGAGTGACCCCTTCCCATTCACTGCCCCATTGGTCTTGAGCCAAGTGGGTGATGTCCAGGGACTGGCGAAGAGTGAGACAGGGCGATGGGCCAACTTCAGGGCTTGGTGAATCAGGGGTATCTAAAGACAAAGGTAGTGAGGAGAGACACCCAGAGCTGGGACACAGACTAGCCCAACCAGTGCATCAGGTCCAGCCGTCAGCTCCCAACCTCCCACCCCAGGACAAAACAGACCGCAGGGGAAGGTTCCATGTCTGCAGATAGCCCTCGCTGGACCTTCTCAACCCCCAGACATTGATGCATCTTTAGGGCCTGAGACAGTGAGAATGCCCACCTTGAGTTTGATATCTTCTTCTGCAAGGCTGAAGTTGTGCAACTGGAAGTCATCTGGGGTGTCGGCGTAGGTGTAGGTGCTAATGGAAAAGTCACAGCTGGCCATGGGTACCCGGATGATATTATACTCAATTCCTGCAGAAAAGGATGAGTAAGATATGGAAGTTGAGATCATCAACGGGGCCAAAGGGAACTTGCGCCCCTAAGTTGGGAACCTTGGAGGTCAGCACCTGGGTGAAACATGTCCTTCTCGGCCTGAGAGTCCCCAGGCACTTAGCAGAGATTGACATGGCAATCTTATTTACATTGGCATGAAGAGAGGAGCCAACTGTCAGGGAAGGGTGAAAAAGTACAAGGAAAACTCAAACGTGTCCATTGCACAATGTCACTTGCCCTCCCCACCCTTCACCTTCTGTTGAGAAGTAAGATTTGAGCAGCAAACTCTGGGCAGAGGGTGACAGGGCAAGTATGTTCAGAGCAGCAGCATCTGTCATGGCCCCTCCAAACCCTTTCACTCTCTGGAACTTCTCTTCTGGCTTCAGGGTCAGTAGCAGCCCTAAAGACACACAGAGGGAAGAAGGGTTTTCAGGCAGGGGAGAAACGGTAGTGACCACTGTTACGACTTGGCTCCAGGTAGACCCAGCCTGGCTTGGGGATGAGGGCATGTGATTACCTGTGCCTGTGTGATTGGCCTGGAAGGTCCCTGTACTCAACTCCATCCGACGTCCGCTACGCGTACTCTCATAGCGGCTGAAGGTACCAAGGGCAGGGAAGGTCAGGGGGTCAAGGGAGTCACAGTAGGTGGCATTGCAGACACAGACCACTGAGCTATAGCCGAAGCTTTTAGGGATGCAGGGGCGGGCACCTGGAACGGAGGGGCACAAGCAGAGGCAAGGCCAAAGGAGGCGGATGAGGAGAATGGACATGCAGGCTAAGAAATTAACGTCAGTTTCAAAAATCCCCTCACTGTGCCCCCACCTCAAGGCTGGCCTCAGTCATTCAGGAGTTTATCTTGCACCTTCTGAAAGTCTCCCACCTACATACCAGAAGACTACCAAAGGACCAGGAGGCTGGGAGCGCCTCAATGCCATCCTCCCCTCTTGGATTCACTTACCTGATGCCCAGGACACTGCCTGAAGCAGAAGCAATCCTGTCAGGCTGGCAGCCATGACTACCCTGCCTGGGTGCTTGGGGCCCACCTGAGAACAGAATGAGAAATGGCTAGAAGGCAAGCCCCTCTCTTCCTGTCAGCTACTCACCAGAGTTTGACTGCCTCTGGGTGCCCCCAGCCTAGTCTCCCACCTTTATTAAGGAGGAGACAAGCCAAGCCAGGTGCGGTGAACACTGCTGTAATCCCAGCGGCTCAGGAGGCTGAGGTGGGAGGATCATGAGTTCAAAGCCAGCCTCAGCAAAAGCGAGTCACTAAGCAACTCAGTGAGACCCTGTCTCTAAATAAAATACAAAATAGGGCTGGGATGTGGCTCAGTGGCCGAGTGACCCTGAGTTCAATCCCCAGTACCAAAAAGAAAAAGAAAAAAAAGGAGGGGACAAGGCCCACAGACTCCTGGGTGCAGCCCTCCCTGCAATCCGACTGCTGGTGACAGCTCTTTGCCCACCAAAAACAAGGACTGTCTTCACTCTCTTCCGGCCCATTTCTACCTCAACCCCTCCCTCCATATGTGTTTTTCTCAAAGAACCCTGATGGCCTGGGTTCAAGGAGAGTCTGCCATTCATCAAATTCCACAGCCTGATGGCCAGGATTTCAGAAGCAATGACAAGACCAATTGAGACCCATGGCTCACTCACCTCTCTAAAACGACTTGAAAACTCCATCACCTCACAGTCACTGGATAAGAAGACCTCAGGAGTTCCACACTCTCAGAGGGATAGAGGATCCACTAAATAAAAACAAGGATTCAGATTATCTACTGCAGCTATTGGAACTGGGCTAGCCCTGCGGGTTAATTCCGGCAACGTGAAGTGGATGGGTCATGTGACGACTAAGGGAGAGTCACACGACACAGGAAATGAGGCAATCACGGCCATATTTGTAATGGGCAGTGGACTTCTGGGCTGTTGAGATTTACACTTTATAAAACTCTGGAAGATATGAGTGTATGACAACTCTGAGAACAGCCTGGAACAAAGATTTCAGTAAAGAACTGGGTAACGGATCCCAAATCCCAAAGAAGGGAGATTACAACAGGCACATCTTGAGAAAGATTTAAATGATACTGACAAGGGTTGGGTATGTAGCTCCCCAAGAGAGTGGTTGCTTGGCATGTGGAAGACCCTGGGTTCAGTTCCCAGTGGAGGGATATCTATACCTACACACACACACACACACACACACACACACTGCTAATAAAATGACTCTAATAAAAAGAGGCTCATCCCTGTAATCTCAGCAACTCAGATGGCAGAAGCAGGAGATCACAAGTTCTAGGTCAGCCTCAACAATTTAGCGACACTCTGCCTCAAAATAAAAAAGGGGACACAGCTCAATGGTAAAGCACCCCCAGATTCAATTCCCTATGTCAGCCCAGAAAAATAAATTAAAATAAATAAAATATGAAAAGAGCTGTGGATGTAGCTCAGTGGTGGTAGAGCACCCCTGGGTTCAATCCCCAGTACCACAAAAAATTTTTTAAATAGAACAAGAAGAGGCTCACTGTGCAAAATACTGAGGCTCCAAACATGTTTAATACAGTCTTTGCCCTAGAGGGACCCATGAGACACCAAAGCAGACACACAGATATTTTGAAAGGCAGAAATGGTAACAAGTTTGCGAGTTCCCCGGGATGAAGAGGGACTCTTCCTGAATAGGGATTTATCCAGAAAGTCTTCATGGAGAAGCTAAGGGGAGTCATTAACCAGTGAAGTGCAGGCGTGGGACCTAGCACTTGGGTGGCATGACAGAGAGGGAGTGGTTGGCACAGCACCTCTCATGGCTTCCCTTCTTCTATCATCAGATGCAGATTATAATAACCGCTCTTCCTTTCTATAGGACTGGGAGGTTGGTGAAGGAGTTCAGAAACTGGAAAGTGCTATACAAAGCTGTACCCTCTGCCAGGCACAGTGGCACACACCTCTAATCTCAGCGACTTTGGAGGCTGAGGCAGGAGAATCTCAAATTCAAGACCAGCCTCAGCAACTTAGCAACACCCTATCTCAAAATTTAAAAATAAAATATAAAAACGGGCTGGGGATGTGGCTCAGTATTTAAGCACCCCTGGGTTCAATCCCTGCTGCCAAAAAAAAAAAAAAAAAAAGTATACCCTCAGCGGAAGCAAGAAGGAGGTTGTCCATGATGTTGCCTCATGAATCACATCAAATCGGCTTAGTGGCAGTGACACACGTAATACCACCTGACTAACCCCAGCTCTCTGAGTTTCCTCACCTGTAAAGGGAGGCAATACCACTGTCTCATTCATAGAGTCAGTGAGATAAGCCCAGTGCCTGGGGCTTAGTAGGTACTGGGAACTACTTATTTGTTGTATGAGTGTTTTCTGTTTTTTGAATTATCTCACTGAAGCCTTTCCAAGGCTGATCATTTCTTCTCCTAGCTTCTGTATCTGTAAGTATAGTTCTGTGAGATGAGCAGGGTTTGAATCCTGGCTCTGCCATTAATGCTGGCTGTAAACTACTTAGTCACCTTAAACCTGTTTCTCGTCTATAAAAGGGAAGTGATAACTCCTGCCTGATAGGATTATTGTGAAGTTTGAATGTGATAATATATATCTAGTACACTGCTTGGCACGAAATGTTGTAACAAGGTAGGCCTGTGTTTATGGAAGGAACTCAAATTCCTTGAAGGAAATGCCTTACTCATTCTAGGTGGTTTCATATCCTTGTAGACCGCCTGGCACAGGGATAGTTGCCAGGTTCCTGAATTGAACTGCTGAACTACCTGCGTGACTAGGGCAGTATCCACCTCTTTCAGACTTCCTGCTTTTCCAGGAAGTATTGCTCAGGACTTGTTCTCAGGAGGGCAGGTAACTTCCTTCCTTCCATTTCATTCATTCCACAAAAGAAAAAGAAAAAAAAAAATTTGGCTAACTTTGCACATGAGCAGCAAGCCTGCTACCCATGAGCTATAATTCCCAGCCCCACTGTGGCATATGTATTAAGTTCATTCTCCCTCTGCCCTTGTCTGTCCAGTTGGGTTTGGAGTCTCCTCCCCTCTCTACAGGCCAAGTTTGAATCTTCTGTTTCTCCTTCCTTCCTTCCTTCCTTCCTTCCTTAACCCAGGGAATTGAACCTGGGGACGCTCTGTCACAGGACATTGTTTCTTCTTATCATCCTTACAAATTGTAAACTTTTCCCAGGGTGATACCACCACTTCTTTCAAATTTCTCTAATAATGTGATTTGTCCTTGAGGTTTTCTTATGTTATTTTTCTGGTACTGAGAATTGAAGCCAGGGTACTCTATTATTGAGCAATAGCCCCAGCCCTTTTGAAAAGTTTTGAGATAGGATCATTTTTATTTTATTTAACTCTTTTTGTGTGTGTGTGTGTGTGTGTGTGTGCCAGGGACTGAACCCAGGGCACTGAGCTACTGAGCCACATCCCCAGCCCTTTTGAAAAAGTTTTGAGATAGTTGCTCACAGCTTCACTAAATTGCTGAGGCTAACTTTAAACTTGTGATCCTCCTGCCTCAGCCTCTCTAGCCACTGGGATTACAGGCATGTGCCACAACACTTGGCCCTTTTTATTTTTTATTTTGAGACAGGGTCAAGTTTCTCAGGCTGGTCTTTTTTGGGGGGGGGGACAGAGTACTGGGATTGAACTCAGGAGCTCTGAACCACCGAGCCACATCCCCAGCCCTATTTTGTATTTTATTTAGATAAAGGGTTTCACTGAGTTGCTTAGCACCTTGCCATTGCTGAGGCTGGTTTTGAACTTGTGATCCTCCTGCCTCAGCCTCCCAAGCCACTAGGATTACAGGCATGCACCATCGAGCCCGGCTTCAGGCTGATTTTGAATTTACAATCCTCCTGCCTCAGCCACCCAAGTAGCTGGGATTACAGTTCTATTTTATTTTCTAAGTAAAGATAGTTATAATATGGACTGTTAAACAAAATTATGGGAGGACATTGTTTTGGACTGAGCCCCTGAGCCCCTGGAGTACTTCCCAACAGATTAGACCAAGCCAAAATGGATTTATTCACACGAAATGACACATAATCAAAATGAAACTTCAAGAGTGATAGATCCCAAAACGCACCAGCTTTTCCTGAAAATAGGAGATTTCAGTGTAGAGTCACAAAATAAGGAAACCCTCTGCTTTAACCCTTACCAAAAAGTAACCTATGTTAACTACTCTGTCTCTGTTCAGAGTTGTTTGGTTGTTTTCTTGTCCTCCCCTTACAAATCCCTCTGTTATGCTGTTGCCTAGTGAAGCCTCCAATTCTGTTTTGTAGATTGGAGGCTGCTCTCATTATATAAGTCACACACAAAAGCCAACTAGATCTACAAGTAAATTTGTCATAATTTAAAATTTTTTTTCCAGTCCTGGGAATGCAAGCCAGGGATGCTTTATCAGTAAGCCACATCCCCAGCCCTTTTTGGCATTTTATTTAGAGACAGGGTCTTGCTAAGTTGCTTAGGATCTTGCTAAGTTGCTGAGGCTGGCTTTGAACTTGCAATCCTCCTGCCTCCACCTCCCAAGCCACTGGGATTACAGGCATACCCTACCATGCCTGGTACTCATCCCTCTTTCATTTTTTTTTTTAATTTTGAAACTGGGTCCTACCAAATTGCAAAGGTTGGCTTCAAACTTGTATTCTCTTGCCTCAGCCTCCTAGGTAGCTGGGATTAGAGGTGTGGGCCTCCATGCCCATGCCTCAAGGACAAATTTGTAATTTTGTCTTTTTAGGAGCATTGTGTGTTTTATTTAAGATTCCTTCTCCTTAATGATCCTCTAAATGATTGGAGTTTTCCTAAAGAATAAGAATAAAACTTTTCTACATGCATGAAGCCTGAGTTTGATCCCCAGATCTGCAAAAAGAAACCACACACACAAAAAAACAACTTTTCTTCAATGTTATATAATATCATCCTCTTGACTTATATTTGATTTTATGTTTGTATATATTGTAAAGATGAATACTTCAAGGGCTGGGGTTGTGGCTCAGTGGGAGAGTGTTTGTTTAGCATGTGCGGGGTCCTGGGTTCGATCCTCAACACCAAAGATTTTGTGTCCAATTACAACCAAAAAATGTATTTTAAAAAAAAGATGAACACTTCAAGATCAAGTGAATGAAGGACAATCCTTCCCTGTGCAGGAATGTTCTGCACATTCTAGAATGCCTTTCCTGACCTCCATCCACTAAATTCTCAAGAGCCTCAGCTACACACATATATTTCCAAAATGTCCCCTAGGGGGCGACTGAGAACCACTGCCAGAGGCACCTCACCTCAAACACCTAGGCCTCACTGTGGGCAACTAGGGGCTTACCAGGTGGCCATCTTCTTCTTTTTCCTTTGTACAGCGCTTTAAAAAGACAGCGAGGGGTTTGAGAGTGTAACTTAGTGTGGTAAAGATGTGCCTAGCATGCATGAGGTTCAGTCCCCAGCACCCCAAAAAAACAAAACAAAAGACAGCTAGAGTATTGTCCTGGGTTTATGTGGTAGAGTAATGTCCTGGGTTTAAAACACAGAAAAATTTTTAATTAAAGACTAAGGGAGGACAACTGAGAAATAAATATAAGTGAAAAGCATTAGTACAAAAATAATTTGGCCAGGCCATGGCACATGCCTGTAATCCCAGCCACTCAGGAAGCTGAGGCAGGAAGAACAAAGGTTTGAGGCCAGCCTTGGCATCTTAGTGAGACCCTGTCTCAAAGTAAATTATAAAAAAGCACTGGGAATATAGCACTCTGGGTTCAATCTCCAGTGCCAAAAAATAAAGCAACCACAAGATGGTGGGCACAAGCCTGTAATCCCAGCAACTCAGGAGGCTGAGGTAGGAGGATCACATTTTCAAGGCCAGTCTCAGCAACTTAGCAAGACCCTGTCTCATGGCTGTAGCTCAGTGGTAAAGTGGTAAAGTGCCCTTGGTCAGTTCCCTTTACCAAAACCAAAACAACAACAACAATTTAATAATTTGACTGACCTGATAATGGAGTTGTGGTCCCATTTTCACCAGTCTAGTCCTGGTACAAAGAAGTCATCTATCCAAGATCTCTACCTCCAATCTTGTTCCCTCTGGCCAGCATCATTTCTCACTTGTCCCCTTAAGAAGAAGCAATGTGGAAGGGTGTTTTAGTTTGGACTGGAATGACTATATGTAGGATTTAAATCCATGCTTGTTCCTTATTAGATGTGGTTTCCTAGTCCTCAAGGGTTTTCATGAGGATTGCAGGAAACGATGCGTGTAATATTGTGTATAGCCAAGTGATCGGGCGTGTGGCTACACTGGGTGTGTCCTCTCTCACACTTCCTACACTCTAGGAGCAGACCATCTGGACCCCTTCCACTCCAGAATGGATCTTGCCAAGGTCACCAAGGATCTCTTCCTTGCTAATCTTTTGCCCTTTTTGACCTAAACTTTTAACCCGGTTGACCCTTGACTTCTCCCTTCTTGAAACCCTCTCTGGTTTCCAGGACTCCCTACTCTGTGGGTTTGGACTCCTCCCACTTCTCCTTTGCAAGCTTCTCCTTCTGTCTGTGCATGTTACATGGGGTTTGGTCCTAGGTCCTCTCTTCTCACACTTTAAGCTCTCTCCAGAGAGAGAACCACACAGCTTATAGTTGATTTTGGTTCCAAAATCTCCACCTCGGATGGATCCCAGTCTCTCTCCGGGGATCGACTCTGTATTGAGTTGGCCTGCTAGACTTCTCTTTTGGGCTTGGGCGTCTCTCAGACCCCTCATCATAAGAGCATCTCCACCAGCCACACCCACTCTCTCTCTCTGTTCTCTCCCTCCACAGAAGCCCTTCCTTCAGAGAGTGGAGCTCATTCTTGACTTTGTTCCTCCTTTTATCCTCATCCCAGCTTTTTTTTTTCTTTAGAATTCTGAAGCCTCTTTCTTGCCTTTGATTTCTACTTTTCCCTCCAATCCATTCTCCAGAAGAACTGGATGGGCTGAGGATGGAGCTCAGGGGTAGAGGGTGAGGAAAAAAGGAGAGAAAACAAGAGAACAGAGAGGAAAGAAGGAAAGAGGGAAGAAAGAGGAATAAAGGAAGTAGGGAAAGGAGAGGAGGGCACGATGGCTGAGACGAGGAAAGAGACGGAGGAGGGAAGAAGAAGAGGGTGAAGAAGGAAGGAAGGAACTAAGACCCCAATCCCGAGGCTACGATTTTCCCTTCTAAAACCTTTTGCTCCACACTCCCTCAAACCCTGTAAGAGGGTAATGCGAAGCCAGGCTTGATGGCACCCTCCTGTAATCCCAGTGGCTTGGAAGTCTGAGGCAAGAAGATCTCGAGTTGAGAGCCAGCCTCAGCAATTTAGCAAGATCCTAAGCAACTCAGTGCGACCCTGTCTCTAAATAAAATATAAAAAAGGCTTGGGGATGTGGCTCAGTGGTTAAGAGCCCCTGGGTTCAATCCCAGGTACCCCCAAAAAAGGGGGGTATTTATGGGAAGCCAGGTGTGGTGGTACACACCTGTAATCCCAACAATTTGGGAGACTGAGGCAGGGCAGTCATAAATTTGAGGCCAGTCTCAGCAACTTAGTGAGGCCCTAAGCAACTTTGAAAGACCCTATCTCAAAATAATAATGAAAAGGGCTGGAAATGCGGTTCAGTGGTAAAGTGCCCCTGGGTTCAATCCTCAATCATCGTCAAGTTGGTATTGGGTTCAATCCCCTGTATAAAAAAAAAAATTAAAAAATAAAAAGTCTTGAACAAGTTCGGCGGGGAAGATGGCGGATGACAAGGATTCTCTGCCCAAGCTTAAGGACCTGGCATTTCTCAAGAACCAGCTGGAACGCCTGCAACAGCAAGTGGAAGACGAAGTCAGCAGTGGTGTGGGCCAGGATGGCTCACTTTTGTCCTCCCCGTTCCTCAAAGGATTCCTGGCTGGCTATGTGGTGGCCAAACTGAGGGCATCGGCAGTACTGGGCTTTGCAGTTGGCACCTTCACTGGCATCTATGCAGCTCAGGCATATGCTGTGCCCAACGTGGAGAAGACACTGAGGGACTACTTTCGGTCACTGCGCAAGGGGCCTGACTAGCTCTAGATCCTATGGGGGAAGCAGGATGAACAGCTGGGGCCTACAGGTGGAGGCCTTTCGAACACAGACATACTATCTAGCTTCCCTGGCTGTCATCTACTTACTGTCTCCACCTGTCCTGCCACCTTCATCTTAGCTTCTCTTCCTGCAGAGGGTGCACAGTGGCTTGTCGGACTGTAACCTGGACTCCTTCCCTCCCCAGCTCCATGAGACTGGCCCCAAGACCATGCTTCATCAGCCCCTTCCTCTTCCAGCCCTAACTGTGGAGTGTACAGATGACTCTGATCCTCAGTATTCTCTCTGGCAATGTACCAGCTCCTCCTGGGAGCTGGCTTCATAACTTAATATCCCTTAAATGTGCCCCAGTTCCTCTGCCACTTGCTAGTTACACAGGCAACCAGGATCTGATGAGGGCATGAGTGTAGAGGAAGGTGGTATGCCAGGCCTGGGCCGTCCTAGGCAGGCCCGCTGGACCCTGATGCTCCTCCTATCCACTGCCATGTATGGTGCCCATGCCCCACTGCTGGCGCTGTGCCATGTGGATGGGCGAGTGCCCTTTCGGCCCTCCTCAGCTGTGCTGCTCACTGAGCTGACCAAGTTACTGTTGTGCGCCTTCTCTCTCCTTGTGGGCTGGCAAGCATGGCCCCGAGGGGCCCCACCCTGGCGCCAAGCTGCTCCTTTTGCACTATCTGCCCTGCTCTATGGCGCCAACAACAACCTGGTGATCTATCTACAGCGTTACATGGACCCCAGCACCTACCAGGTGCTGAGCAATCTCAAGATTGGAAGCACAGCCCTATTCTACTGCCTCTGTCTCCGGCACCGCCTCTCTGCACACCAGGGTTTGGCACTGCTGCTGCTGATGGCTGCAGGGGCCTGCTATGCAGCAGGTGGCCTTCAGGACCCTGGGAACACCCTTCCTGGGCCTCTAGCAGCTGCTGCCAGCCCCATGCCCCTGCATATCACTCCACTGGGACTGCTGCTGCTCATCCTGTACTGTCTCATCTCAGGCTTGTCGTCTGTATACACAGAGCTGCTCATGAAGCGACAGCGTCTGCCCCTCGCACTTCAAAACCTCTTCCTCTACACTTTTGGTGTGCTCCTGAACCTTGGTCTGCATGCAGGTGGTGGTCCTGGCCCAGGCCTCCTGGAGGGTTTCTCAGGATGGGCAGCACTTGTGGTGCTGAGCCAAGCACTAAATGGACTGCTCATGTCCGCTGTCATGAAGCATTTTTGTTGTGTCCTGCTCATTAGTGGTCAATGCCATGCTTTCAGCAGCCCTGCTACGGCTGCAACTCACAGCTACATTCTTCCTGGCCACACTGCTCATTGGCCTGGCTGTGCGCCTGTGTTATGGTAGTCACTAGCCCCTGGCCACCTTGCTTGCTTCTGATTCTATAGATTGGGCACCACCACCAGAGTCATCTCTCAAACTTCTTCCTTTCCTCCCCTTAGCAACTGTAATAAGTGCCTTGTGAGAAAAGCTGGAGAAGGGAGAGCAACCAAGTTAGTCTTGAAGTGCTGTATGAAGGAGGCTTCTAGGAGACATGAAGAGTAGATTTGGTTAAGGAAACTTAACTTCCCCACCCACCCCCAAGTTCTTCCAAACTAAAGAATTGGGAGCATCAATACCTAGGCCTGAAAAAAATGACTCCATTCCTGATGGGGAAGGCTCCCTGCCTCATCTTCCATAAACAAAATGAGATATGGGTGACCGGTGGCTTTCCTTGCCCACTGTGGTCACCCCAATATACCCACTACCCAGGCCTGGTGTTGGTGCTCAAGCCCCGCCTTGGTGCATGACTTCTTCATAAGGGACACTCACACCCAACAGTCATGCAGGAAGGCCCAATTGCTACAAATTATATAGCTGTCACCTAGGCCACTCTGCCAAGGTCCCTCAGCTCCAGCACTGCCTGGAGATATATCCCCTACCCCCTCCACAGTGCTGCTTCCCTTACCCAGCCTTTGTTCTGGAAACCCCACAGAGGGCTGGGGCTTGACTCATCTCAGGGAATGTTGCCCCTGGATCCTGGCTTAAACCTATACTCCTAACCCCTTTGCTCACCCAAGGGCCCTATTGAAGCCCACTGCCACCTCTAAGGCTCTTAGGAGGTAGCATCTTTCCCACTCTGAGTCCTATCCCTGCTTAGTAGTGTCCCAGCTCCCAACAGCCTGGGAAAGCTCTGCACAGATTGACCTGGGACCAGGTACAGAAACTTCTATAGCTTAATCAATGTCTCTTTTAACTGCATAAGCAATAAGGTCTTAATAAAGTGTTCTAGGATGTAGGGTGCTTCCTACAACCAGTCAAAAAAAAAAAGTCTTCTGGGGGCTGGCGTCTTTGTCCCCCCTTGTTTCTCACTTCTTCACTTACACCGTATGCTCCAATCTCCTTGTCTGCCATCAAGAGGCCACATTCTATCTTGTCTGCTGTTGCCTCTGACCTGAACTTTTTATTCTTCCTCCTTTTTTTTTTTTCGGTATTAGGGATTGAACCCAAGGGTATGTAACTATCCAGCCACATTCCCAGCCCTTTTTTTCCTCCTCCTCCTCCTCCTCCTTCTTCTTCCTCTTTAAATTGTGGGACAGGGTCTTACTAAGTTTTTAGGGCCTTGCTAAATGGCTGAGATTAGTCTTGAACTTGCAATCCTCCTACCTCAGGCTTTTGAGGTGGTGGGAGAACAGCCTTGTCTCACCATATTTGGCCCTTCCTCCCTTTTGGAAAAAAGGTGAATGACTATTCATCATTAAGTCCTCAGCCTCACTAGCATCATCAGTCCCATTTCCTCACTCCTCTGCCTGAGTTAGGCACCCTTGCTATGCACGCTCCAATTCAAATGCTGAACAAATATTAACTGGGAATTTACTTATGTGCCAAGCATGGTTCTAGATTCTGAGGATATGGCAATGAATAAAATGACAACCTTCCCAGCCTTATGGGGCTTATATTCTAGTGGCGGCAGTAACACACACAAACACAAACACACACACACACACACACACACAATTTGGGTAATGATAGGATGAAAAATAAATTGAAGAAGAGGTTGGAGTGGTGGAAGTGGGAGGGGTAGTGGTAAAAAGTTGAGTTTGTAGAAGCAGAAAAGTCAGATTCTGAAGGGACTTGGTGGCCACAGCAGAGTTTCAATTATGTTTTTTGTTTGTTTGTTTTTGTTTTTGGTATTGAGGATTGAACCCAGGAGTGCTTACCACTGAGCTGCATCCCCAGTTCATTTTACTTTTTATTTAGAGGCGCTGAAGACCTTGCTAAGTTGCCCAGGCTGGCCTCTGCCTCTGCCTCTGGAGTCCTTGGGATTACAGGTGTGCACCACCTGGCTGGTTCAATTCTGTTCTAAGATGGAAATTCACTGAAGAGTTTGGAGCAGGGAACTGACAAGATAAGATTTATATTTTTTAAAATATACTTTGGCTGCTGTATAGAAACCGGACTGGAGGGGGCAAGTGCAGAGGAAGACCAGCATCCAATAACAACTTGCCACCCACTTGTCCCTGGCTCTCTATCCTTTCTCTCTGAATCATAGCAAAGGCTCTTCCTTCATCATGCACAGGCTTCCACTCCACTTAGCCTCCTTAATGCACCTCCGATGTTACTTTCTCCAAGAAATTCTGCCTCACCTTCCCATCTCTCCTGTAACACCTGCTCAGAGCCTTCACATCTCCTTTGTCTTTCCACAGTTGTAATCAACTGTACAAACAATTTAATATCAGGCAAAGCGCCAGCTCATAAAAGAACGACATACTCATTCGTCTGTGCACTGGTCTATCGGTGTATAAGCCCGGTGAGGTAGGGATCAATCTGTGCTGGTTTCCTGATCCCCAATGCTTAGCACAGTTCCTGGGTCCCACACTCAGCGAACGTTTGTCGAATGATTGAAGAATGCAAAACATACAGCCTTCTTCCGACTCTACCCCTTAAAAAGCGCGAAAAGGATTTGTTTTATCGTCTTTAAAAAGAAGTGTTATCTCCTTTTAAAAAAAAGAATCTCTCTCTCTCTTTCAGTTGTAGATGGTCACAGTACCTCCATTTTATTCATTTTTTTATATGTTGCTGAGGATCGAACCCAGTGCCTCACGCATACGAGGCAAGCGCTCTACCACTGCCCCAGCCCCCTCATCTCTTCTTTATTTATAAAAAACAACTATCTCTACAATTAATAATAACAATGATGGGCTGAGGCTGGGGCTGGGTGGTAGAGCGCTCGCCTAGCATGTGTGAGGCCCTGGGTTCGATCCTCGGCACCACATAAAAATAAATGAATAAAATAAAGGTCCCCAAAAAATAATAACAATGATGATGAAAAGGTTAAGTTCAAACGCAAGAAGGGCAGTTAAAACCCAAAGGATGCAACATCTGTTGTTCGCAAGGCGAAACAGCAGCCCCAACCGGAGGCCGAGGGAAAGCTCACTGCAGCCTGCGGACGCCAACGGGATGCGCAGTCGCGAGACTATCAGGCGGGCGGGGCGGGGCCTGTTCCGAAAGGGGATGGGCGTTCCCGCGGAGGCGGAACCCAGAGCCCGTCCCCACTTTTCATTGGTTTGTCCTTGGGATGGGCAGTTTGCACTGGTCAACCGTGGTCCAGATACAGCGCAAGGGTATTACCACGCTTGCGCGCGACGTCCACCAGCGGACAGTCGGGTAAAGGGTGGGGCGGGTTGAATTCGCACCGATTCCCTCTCGCCCGAGCTGAGCAAGGTTTCTTGAGTTTACTCCTTAGGGAGCCCGAGGATGGAGAACATTCGGTACCCTGAAGCTGCGAGAACCCCAGTGTCCACCTCCTCCTGCCTCATTTTGTGCTGGCCGTGCTTCAACCCTTACGGAGGCTGTATTGTTATTACGGTGAATTATTCAAGAAGCCTTGCAGTCTGACGCCATCTCTTGGGAGTGCCGCTCCATCCTCCTTCCCCTTCCTAGAGGGCACAGTGTGGCCCCCACCATCAGTGTGCTGAAGCTGTCTACAGGGCCTCCGATTGCGCCACTTTAGTAATTTAAGGAGTGTTTGTTGAAGACCTACTATGTGTTGGATCCCATGCAATGAGCAAGCTCTGCTTTTTTTTTTTTTTTTTAATATTTATTTCCTTTAGTTTTCGGCGGACACAACATCTTTGTATGTGGTGCTGAGGATCGAACCCGTGCCCCACGCATGCCAGGCGAGCGTGAGACCGCTTGAGCCACATTCCCAGCCCCCAAGCTCTGCTCTTGAGCATTTATATTCTTATTTATTTATTTATTTTTGGTACTGGTGATGGAACCCAGGGTTGCTCTACAGCTGAGCTACATCCCCAGTCCTTTTACTTTATTTATTTATTTGTTTTGTGGTGCTGGGGATTGAAGCCAGGGCCTTGTGCTTGCGGGGCAAGCACTCTACCAGCTGAGCTATGTCCCCAGTCCTATACTTATAATTTTAATTTGTGGTACTCCTGCCTCTGCCTCCCTAGTTGTTGTCCTTACAGGTGCAGATCACCAAGCTTGGCTGGGAGTTAATATTCTAGGGAGGACACAAACATATTAACAAAAAAAGATAGTTTTATTTCATTTTAAAGACATATTGGCTTTATTTTCATTTCTAGAATCCAGCAACACTTCATTCCATAAAATAGAGATTAGTATTTTTACAAGATAATTTTAATGATAAATCTTATGCTCAAAACAAGATGGTAGGGCTGAGGGTATAACTCTGGTGGAGTTTTGACTCCCATGGCTGAGGCCCTGGGTTCAATCCCCAGCACAAAAAAGCAATAACAAAATGATTTACCAACTAGATTGGGATGGTGTGCTCACTGAGAAGGTGAGTGGAAATAGGACTTGAATTAGGTGAGGCTGCAGACACAGCGTTGAACATTTCATGCTGGGGAAAGAAAAGGTTCCTGGTCCTTGGAGGCATTTTGACTGAAGCAGAGAGTGGGCCCGGTTGTGCTTGACCACAGTCTCAGTAAAGAATTTGGAGATTACTATAAATACAATGGGAAGCCAGTAGATATAGGAAGAGCTTTGATATGATTTATTGTCACTTTGATAAAGAGTGGAAATAGATTGATTCAGAGGTGGTTGTGGCCCGCACTAGGTAGCTGGAGAGATAGTGAGACTTTGATGAATTTGGGATAGGATTGGTGTGTTGAGTGAGGGAAGTCAGGATGATTCCTAAGCCTTAGGAATGTGCATTTGGGCAATAGTGGTGCAGTTTATTGAGATGGAAATAGTAGAAGAGCAAATGATGGGGTGGGTACCCCAAATTCCGTTGTGCTCAAGCAAGAGATGTCAAGTTGGAGGTAGGAGCTCACAAAGCTAGAGTTACACATTAACGTGACATGGACCTTAATAGGGGAATTTACAGAAAGAGGGAGGTAGAATCAGTCCAGCAGAGGTATAAAAGCTGGTAAAGTAGGAGGAGAAATAGGAGAATGTGATGTTTTTGAAGTCAAAAAAGGGAAAATTTCTAGAAGAAAAAATGCTGATTATTTGGGTTAATTGCTGCTTAAAGAGGCAGAGAAATGATTGATGAAAACTTTGTCAAGAGCAGTGGCTAAGGTTGGTCCAGTGGCACCTACCTGTAATCCCAGCTGCTCAAGAAGCTGAAGCGGGAGGATCCCCAAGTTCAAGAACAGCCTCAGCAACTTAGCAAGATCATCTCAAAATAAGTTAATAAATAGAAAGAACTAGGGATGGCAAAGTATCTGTGGGTTCAATCCCCAGTAACAAAAAAGACATAAAAAATAAAAAAGGCCGGGGCTGGGGCTGGAGCTCAATGATAAAGCCCTCCTAGTCCATGCCCCATAAGGTGTGGGGTAAGCAGGGAACAGTAGCTGGAGAGAGGTAGGGAAAGTAGCCTTCTGGAAGTAGATAGGGAGAATGGATGTTTGAATGGGAACAAGTAAGATAGAAACACTTTTGGAGCTGGGCATGTAGCACAAGCCTGTAATCCCATCAACTCGGGAGCCTGAGGCAGGAAGATTCCAAGTCTGAGGTCAGCCTCAACAATTTAGCAAGCCCCTGTCTCAGGGCCCTCAATTACTGAGCCACATCCCCAGCTCTATTTTGTATTTTATTTAGAGACAGGGTCTCACTGAGTTGCTAAGCACCTCACTGTTGCTGAGGCTGCCTTTGAACTCATGATTCTCTTGTCTTACGTCTCTCCAGCCACTGGGATTACAGGCATGGTCCAACACACCTGGCCTGTCTCAAACTTTAAAAAAAAATTAAAAGGGCTGGGGATGTAGCTCAGTGGTTAAGCTCCCTGGTTTCAATCCCTAGTACAAAAAAAGAAAAAGAAAGAAAGAAAAAGAAACCCTTTTGCTATCAAAATGAGCAGAGATACAATGTGGTTTCTGGAAATGTCCTAATATCTCATATTTAAGAAAATTCAAGGCTAAGTTTCACTGATGATTAGAGAAGTCTAGGAAAAGATGGGCACAGGGGCACGGCAAATGCCTAGAATGCCTGCTACTCCAGAGAGTGGGCAGGAGAGTTACAAGTTGGTTGCCAGCCTCAGCAACTTAGCAAGATCCTATCCTATCTTTAAAAAAAAAAAAAGGTCCAAGAGAGAAGGGGGAAATTGAAATTTATTGAAGGCTTACTTTGTGTGTTAAGAGCTTTACAAACATTCATCTTCACAATGTCTTATGGATCAGGCAATTGAGGTTAAGTAACTTGCCCAAGGTCATGCAGCTAGAGGTGGCAGAGCTGAGAGGTCACCTAGATTTCTGGCTCTTCGTTGCCCACCTCATCACCCCATCACACAGGCACAGATTCCCCTCTACCTAAACACCCAGGACACATTTTTTTCCCTGACCAGAGTGCCCCTGAGAATCAGTCACTGTTGAGCTGGAGGGAGTTTATTAATTTTCCTCCTCCGATGCTGTAAGCAGGGGCATCCCCCTGACAGCCTGAATACCATGCAGCACAGGACAGAAGCTCTCCCAGTCCAAAGGGGCAGAAGCAAGCAGCAGGAGCCCCAAAGGCAGAGGGAAAGAGACACTTCTGGGGATATATAGCGGGTTTTGGGGTTTTTATTGTGTGTGTGTGTGTGTGTGTGCGCGCGCCAGCCAATGCAAGAGGGTGCTGGGGGCTGCTGGTCCCAACCAGCTGGTACCTGTGGCCCCAGTATTCATCTGGATCTGTTCAGTGTAACAGGAAACCCAGGTCAGAGCCCAGTCTCCCTGCTGCCCCCGTTGAGGCTGAGGCTGTGGGGGCGCGTCCCACGCTCCAGCCTCCTGCCAGACAGGAGGCGCCGCAGAGAGGAGCCAGAGCTCAGGTCACCACAGCTGCGGAGGTGGAGGCTTTCTCGGCCTGGCCGGCCCCATGGGCTCCGGGGCACCTGGAGAGGGACACGGGACAGGGCATCAGTATGGCTCAACCTGGTGCTTCAGGCTTTTCAGGGATCTTTCCTGGCTCCCCTCATGTCTACCTGCTTATGTCCATGAGCTCCAGTGCCCGTGGGGTCTGGGGATTTCCTGGACATCTGGAGGAAACGAGTGACCAGGCCCCGGCCTGGCCAGCTTCCTTTTAGGTCTCCCAGAGAGTGAGCAGGTGCAGGGCCTGAGGGGAGGGGAACCTTCTGGAAGGTGGGCACAGGGCGCCGTTTCTCAGCTGAGCGGGCACGCAGCAACTTGGGGGAAGGGCAGCGGGCGAGGCGGAAGAGGCAGGCTTCAGAGCAGAGCCCTGCAGAGAGGAGAAGAGACTGGGCTATGCGGGGAACAGAGAGGGCCAAACAGTCATCCCCTCATCCTCACCTCCCAGTTGCCAACCGCAGGCCTGACCTGTGTCTGCAGAGGAAACAGAGGCAGCTTCTTCCTCAAGCACTTTGGTATAAAGGTCCCTGAAGTCAGCTGGGGGAGGAACAAGGAGTAAATGAGAGCACTCTGTGGATACACCCACCACTTCCCCACTCTCCTGTGAGAACTCGAGCCCAGAGAGCTCCCATGGCTCCTATCTCCACATCCAATCAAGAGATCATCATCTCGGCCCACTTCTGCAAGAAACTAGATGGGACGGTGCACAAAGACCGGATGACAGTGTTGTTATTCGAGACTGCAGCACCTCATAGCAGAGTCATTCCTGAGCTAGTGCTGTTCACCTGCATCATCTGCCTTCTGAGTACTAACTAGGCCTAGTCCTGCTGAGCTTCCCAGATCAGACGAGAGTGAGTGCCTTCAGTGTGGCGTGGCCATAGGCCACTTCCTCTGTCTCCTTTCTCAGCCACTCCATAGCACTTCTGGTTGAGATACTGTGATTACACCTGTTTTACAGGTGAGAAACTGAGGTTTGTAGAGATTAGGTAAGCAGCCCAAACTTGGGAACCATGGAACTAGTCATTGATTCTCAGCTTTTTGGCTAAGACGAAGTGTAGTATCCATTCCAGTCAGCTTACTATCTGATATGTCCTCTATTTGAGGATAATATAGTAAATGGATTTGGGGATTAAGGAGATGGAATAGGAGCTTGCTCTGTCCACTCTGCACATCAACCTGGTATTGCAGTCCCTCTAGGAATGGTGCACCCCCTTCAGGGAGATTTAAAAATAACAACAAAAACAAGTACCAGCTGGGTGTGGTGGCATAATGTTCCCTGTAATACCAGCTACTGGGAAAGCTGAGGCAGGAGGGTCAAAAGCCCAAGACTAGCCTTGGTGATTAAGCAAGACCCGATTTCCAAATAAAATTTAAAAGGGGCTGGGAATGCAGCTCAAAACCAAAATGCTCCTGGGATCAATCCCCAGTACAAAAAACAAAACAAAACAAAACAGTCAGATGCTGGGGTGTAGCTGTGTGGTAGTGTGCTTGCTGGTGAGTTTGAGGCCCTGGGCTGGATCCCCACTACTGAGAGGGAAAAAATAAGGTTCTCCACTTTAGCCAAGAATCTGTGGAAGCTTTGTCCCTGGGGAGGGAGTACCAGAGAAGTGTACTGCAGCTGGCCTACCCACTGTGATCCCACCACTTGGGAGGTTGAGGCAGGAGGGTCACAAATTCAAGGCCAGCTTAGGCAATTTAGTGAGACCCTGTCTCAAAATTAGATAAAAGGGCCGGGGGGTGTAGCTCAGTGGTAAAGCATGCCTGGGCTCAACCCCGCGATACAGGGGGTGGGGGGAGTATTGCAAGAGCGTCCTTTCTTTTTCCGCAGGGACCTCAAAAGGTCCCAAGTCCTGGTGGGCATAATTGACCTTCAAATCCCAGTGCCTATCCTCCCCTCAATGGCAGAGATAGAAGGGAAGGCTCACCAGTGTCGCTGCAGGTGGTGATGCCCGGGTCGCTGTGGGACCGTGGCAGCAGCAGCGGTGGCGGGGGAGCCGGATGAGGAGGCCGGTGCCCCGGTGGGGTGAGGGAACCTGAGCTATCGCTGAAGCGGCGAGTGGGGGCTCGCGTGGGAGGGGCCGCTGCTGGGCGGCTGCCTCCCCGGGGGACCCGTCGTCTCAGCTCGGGGAAGCAGGGTCCCACCCAGGGTGGCCAGCCCTCCAGCCGGTGGCAGCTGCGGGCTGTGGTTGGGGCACCCAGGGCGGGTGGGGCCTCCGGGGCAGAGCAGGAATAGGAGCGGGCAGCCCGTGGGGGCCGCCGAGGCAGGGGGCTGTCCTCGAAGGGGCCTCGCAGGCCGCAGTCCAGGCTGAGGCAGTAGCCCGCGCGGCTGCGCTGAATGGAGCGGAAGAGCACGTAGTCGACGGAGCGCACGGAGCCCTGCAGCTCCAGCAGGCACGAGTCCTCTGAAGGGCTAGAGCCGCCCGGGAGGTCACCGATGGCTGACAGCACCAGGGACCCACTGTCCATGGACACTGTGGGCAGCAGGAGGCACTGATAGCACCAGGTGTCCGGACCCAGGCAGACAGTCCTCTTCTCCCGAGCCCAGCCTTCCAAGGGCCACTGTGCCTCCAGCGTTATCTCAGAGGAGACAGGTCCAGGGTTCCAAGAAGCCACAGCCCTCATTTATCCCTAAGTCAGCTCAGCCAGAGTCCCCTCCTTTTGCTCCCACCCAGCCATGCTGTCCTTGGCTGCCCTGCCCCTACCCACCCGTCTTGACTCTGCTCACCATCTACAATTGAGGCCACACGCTCACAGATACAGGAGCCATCATGAAGCTGAGGATCAAACAGAGTAGCCTGTAGAAGACACAAGGGCCAAGGGTCAGCCCCTCATGCTGGCATGGCCACTTCCATGCCCAGAAAGAGCTCTGGGAGAAGTAGATTCTGGACTAGCTTTGTCACTTTGTACAAGTCACTTAATTTAAGTGGGCCTCACTGTACTATAGAAATACAAGTTCCTAACCTACCCATCTCACCAGGCTCTAGGGAAGATCAAAGATGACAGTGGATGTGGTAGTGCTTAATGATCTTGAGAACTATTATTATCCTTAACCATCACCTACAACTTGCTCAGCTTACCAGGCTCTGTTCTTGGCTTCCCAGACTGCACCAAATCCTGCTCTCACCTGGCTGTCTCCTCGTAGTCCCATGACGGCCTCATAAGAAGGGGGGCAATCAGTAGGGTACAAAGGTACTGGACTGTCCATGGAGCCATTGTACGTGATGCTGGTAGGATAAGGAAGAGGATCAATGCCTGGAAAGTAACTCCTACTCCATGAAGATCCCTCCCCCACCAATCCAGGCCCAACCCCAGACCCCTTCCTCAGTTTTCCCAGCAGGACCTCACCTCTGTGCATCTGTTTCTGAGCTGCAGGTATACTCTGGAGGATAGTAGGGCGGTGGGGGCACAGGTGGTACAAATTCCTCCAAGTCCAGCATGGTGTGTAGGAGAGGGGCTGGAGGCGAGGATGTACAGGCCAGAGGCCCCAGGGGGCCTGAGACAGAGCGCTCAGGGGCCAGCTGCTGTGGAGCAAGCAAGTAGGTCAGTGAGCCTAGTTTCTGGGAATAACCTCTTTGGCCGGAATTCCTCACTACCTTGTTTTATGGTCCTGCCCCCTCCAAGAAACTCCACTTCAGGCTCCTCCCTTACCCACAAGAAGCTCCTTCTTAACCCTGCCCCCACCCTGAACCTCCACCTCTGGCCCTGCCCACCCAGAATTTTTTTTTTCCTTCCCAATTTCATGGTATTGCTATGGAACCCAGAGCCTGGCATGTACTAGGCAAGTGCTCTACCGCTAAGCTAGATCTCCAACCCTTTTTATTTTATTTTGAGACAAGGTCTTGCTGTGTTGCATAGGCTGGCCTTGAACTTGCAATCTTCCTGCCTCAGCCTCCCAGCTAGCTGGGACCACAGGAATGCCAGACGAAAATTCCTCCTCTTTATGGCCTCATTTCCAGAATCACCACCTGTTCTCCAGAATTGTCTTTTATTTTTCCCCATTTCCATCTAGGACCTTGTTGACTCCACCCCACCCAGGCTTGCACTCTAAAGCCCCCTCTTCTGGTCAGATAGGCATCAGGTACTTAACTCATTCCCATCTGTCCCCTTCACCCTCCCTTTGGCATCCTAAATATGCCTCCAATCATCATCATGCCCAGTGATCCATAGCTCCTAATACTCAGAAGCTAGACCTGTAGCCACTGTCCCATCAAGCCTGGTCTCACAAGCCCCTGATCTCACCATGCCTGCCTGGCCCTGGCCCTAGCTCCCCATTCACCGTATGCACGAGGTCCAGAGAGAAGATTTGGATGCAGCAGACAATAGCAGAGAGAGTACAGATTATGGCGGCACAAATGGTGAGCCCACAAACACTGAAGAGCAGATTCTGGGAAGGGAAGAGAAAGGGGAAGGGGAGTGAGGGCTTGGGGCGTGGTAAATCCCACAAATTCTCAGGGCTGGGGATGTAGCTCAGGAGAAGAGTGTTTGCCTAGCATACTCAAGGCCCTGGGTTTGATCCCCGGCACTGAAAAATTAGACATCCCAACTATTCTGGCCCTGTGAGAACCTCAGAAGGGGAGGCAAGAATGACACCCAGAAACACGGTAGAAGAAGGAACTGTGAGGGCTGGAGGAGTGGGGTGGCGTGCATGCTCACCTTGAGGGCACCTCGGGCTTCTTCACAAGTGGAGTTAGGGGCAACTTTCAGTTCCTGCCCTGACTCTGGACAGGGCCGAGGTAGGGGATCAGAGGGACAGCACACACAGACCTTTCCTTCCTGAGTAGGAGTGGGGAGGGTGAGGCAGCCTGAGTCAGGACAAACTCAGGTATCCTGCACACCTCCCCCAATCAGTGCCTCCTCAAATCTCACCATGGAGCAGTCTCGGAAGTCCCGGGCCAGCTGAGCATTTTTACAGGAGAGAACAGAGCCAGCCATGCTCAGCATGACACAGAGCACCGAAAGCAAGGAAAAGAAGGAGATCTGGGGAAAAAAGAGTGCCAACTCAGGTCTAGAACCTTCATGAGTACCCCTCTACCATGGATGGAGCCACTCCTTCACAGACACTTCATCCCTGCCTGGCACCAACTGGAGAGCCAATTCCCTTCCTGAGGGCATAAGTGGGCATCCCCTCTGGTGCTGGGCACCTGCCTCCCGGTGGGCATTGGACCCTGGCACCTACCACTAGAGTGAATGGCCGCTTCCAGGACACAATGCCAACCACCCCGGAGAACGCCAGCTGGGGACAGAGTGGGCACAGGCTCAGCCTGGCAGGGGAGGCACCTGGGTGAGCCCCTCGCCACAGGATGCACCCAGCCCTGCAAGGAGGGAAAGGACCAGGAGAGGGAGGAGAGGCGAGGATGTGGGCTTGCAGCTGGTGAGGAGGGGTGGGGCCCGAGGAGCCGCTCCCACCCAACCACTGTGCACCCAACTCACCGAGAATCCAGCCCAAGATGGGCAGGACCTCTTGATGCTCTCAGTGGTGGTGACAGAGGAGGCCACCATGCTGAAGGTTACCACCAGGATACCCAGGAGAACCTGGGCCAGCCCCAGCGTGAGAAGGGCCTGCAGCCAGGGTCGATGGAGGCGGAGGTGGGTGAGGCCCCGAGTGCTGGGACGGCTGGTTAGCGAGCGGCTGGAGTCACTAGGCGAGGGCATCATGCCTGCCGCCCGGTTGCTTGCACCTCGCTCGGCCCCCCCTGGCGCTTGGGAGCATCTCAGAGGCACCCAAGGCCGGGTTCTTTCTCCTCTCCACCCCCCTCGCTCTAGAGCCCGCCCCCTGGCTGGGTCCCCCGGGACATCGCCCAGGGACGCCAGCTGCTGGGGCGCCCACGGGAGGGGCGTCACGGAGGGACTTCGGGGTGCTCCCTCCCCACCACGGGCACAGGATGGGCACTGTGCCCGGGGCGGCAATGAGGGCGCGGGGGCACCGGCTCATCGCATCTCCCTAGGGAAGAGGGGCGCCGAGAAGGGCCGGTTCCAGAGAGAGGAGAGGGCGGCGGTCCGGAGCCCAGGAATGGGTGGCAGGAATGGGTGGGAAGGGTAAAGGCGAGGCGGGTAGAAGTCTAAAGAGGGGAGGGGTGGTCGCGGGGTGACTCTAGAGGCGCAGTCGGTACGCCCTCAGGATGTCCAGTAGGATCCAGGGCCGCCTGGTGGGGAGAGGCCGCGGTGCCGCTGTCTCCCGGGTCGCTTGTCCCGCTCCCATCCCCCCATGCTCCGCTCCCCCAGCTCGGCTGCAGCAGGTCGGACACTAGGGGCGGGGGATGGGGCTGGGGCCGGTGCCGGTGGAGGGGCGTGGCGCGCGGTGCACCCTGGGAACTGTAGTCAGGACCAGGAACCCGAGGAGGGGGGGGAGGCCGGCGGAGGCGGGCCCAGCCCCTGGCCGAGTCGCGAACGTGGTGCCCCACCCGGTCTCCCGGCTGCAGGCTGCGGCGTCCGCGGCTGACGGCGGCCTCTTCCCCAGTGTTCGTGGAGAGCGGGGAGCAGGCTCCCCGTGTTTCCGCGACTCCACGCCCCCGCCCTGCCCGGCCGACAACTCCCAGGGGACACGCAAGCCTTGAGGTTCCCGAGCGCGAAGGCTTCTGTTTCCCCCCAGTACCCTCCACTCTTTTTTTTTTTTTTTTTTTAGTTTTCGGCAGACACAACATCTTTGTTTCTATGTGGTGCTGAGGATCGAACCCGGGCCGCACGCATGCCAGGCGAGCGCACTACCGCTTGAGCCACATCCCCAGCCCGGTACCCTCCACTCTTTATAAGACTTAATTCCCATTAAAATTTCAGGAAACAGGTGAGTTCCAGTTCCACTTTCTTTTTATTTAAATAACCGAAGCGACAGCCTTGGCACAGCAGAGGGAAGCTGGGTTGGGGCGTGTGAGAGGGGGCAGCAGTGTGGCCTGATGGGGGGAAGGGCGAGCAGTGATAGGTCACAGTGGGCTCCCAGCACCCCCAAGTCAGGATCAGCAGTCATGGCCGTGGAATTGGGGGCACTATGGAGAAGCCATCAAGTAGTGATGTCTCCCCAAGTCCCAGAAACCTCAGGGATGGGGCTATGTCAGCTCCCTCAAGTGGCAGGGCCAGGGCATCCCAGTCAGGAGTCACGGGGCCCGGAAGGCATTTTCGGCAGCCCCTGCGGCTGCATTGGCAGCTGCGGTTCGCACCGCAGGGTTGGAGAAGACACCAGCAGCAAATTCTTGCTGGGCCTTCTGAAAACTGGCACCTGTGCGACGGTACAAGGAGTGGATCTGCAAGAAGAGGGCAGAGACATTTCAGCACAGTCCAGTCACTGCTGCCTTGCCCCACCTGACACCACCACCTCTCACCAGCCTGCTGTTCTGTTTTTTTTAAATATGATCATTTTATTTATTTATTTTTTTAGTTGTTAATGGACCTTTATTTATTTCTATGCGGTGCTGAGAACCAAACCCAGTTCCTCACACATGCTAGGCAAGAGCTCTAACACTGAGCCACAATCCCAGCCCCTGCTGTTCTTTCTTTTCCCTCTGGACTCTGACCCTCTCTCCCCACACACAAACTTGTACAGACACTCCCCCACATACATAAGGAGTCCATTAGTGGAGAACCCGCCCCTCAATCTGGCCTGCTCCCATTCCTCCTGTTCCAATAAGGCCCCTAGAGACCCCTGATCTCACCCTCCTGGCCCCACCTTCCACACAGCCCCTCACCCGTTTTAGCATCACAATTCCCAGCACAGCGATGCCAGTGAAGAGCAGGGCAACCAGCAGCATAAGCACAGCTACAGCTGTGTTGTTCTTCAGCACCACCAGAGCCGTGATCCAGCCACTGTAGGGGAGGCATGTGCCTGTAACAAGGGCTGCTCACATCTGGGTCTAAGTCCTCCCAGCTTCTCCACTCAGTTAGTCCTGACTTGTCCCACCCCACCCCTCCCATCAGCAGTCACTCCCCTGCCAGTCTGGCAGCATGCCGTGAACCACAATCCCCACTACATGCACTCTTCACATTTTAATTCCAATTTGTGAACCATTAGCTCTAGTTCTGCAAGTTCTTCTGAGCATCCTCCCTCCAAACAGATCCTACTCTGTTGAGGATGCTCTCTCCCCTCTTCATTGTTACATATTTCTCTTCTAGGGAGCCTTCTCAGATTGACCACACACAGACCTCTTCTCCTTAGTCTCTGCCTGTCTAGAGTTGTCTGGGTTCTACGTTAAATATGTCCTGTCTTTCTCATTAAACTAGAACCTCCCAAGGGAGAAATTTTTTCCAAACAACTTGTATCCCAGTATCCAGTGCTGGCTTGGTCTAGAGAATTAGAAGGGAGGATAAGAGTGGCTGGCAGCCTTACAGACCTGAACCCCCAACCTGGGATGCCAATGGCCTGGAGGACAAAGAGCACATTCTGGGCGAAGAAAATGAAGAAGAAAACGAAGAAATTGAATGAACTGTCACTCCTGCAAAGGGCGGGGGGTGGGGAAGATGGGGAGATTGGGAGAAAAATTAGAGCTGGAGAAGCTGATGGGGGGCCCATCCCAGGTCCCTAGTCACCCACTTACCGGAAAGCCTTGTACATGGGGCGGTACCAGCAGACGAAGGAGCAGGGAGTGAAAAGGAGGACCCAGAGCAGAGAAAGCCCAAAGCCGGAGCCATTGCTGGTCTCTACACAGAAGCTGGCCAGGCAGGCGAGGAAGTTCAGGAGAAGAGCCAGAGTGCTGCCTAAGGAGCAGGGGGACAGGGTAAAGGACAGGTCCTCCTGAACTGCAATGAAAGCTCCTTACACGCCCTCCCCATAACCCTCCCCAGGTCTGACAGTGTAAGGGAAGAAAGGCAGCTCCAGCTTTGGTGGAATCGGCTTCACAGCAATGGAATAAGCAAACCTCAATCATAAGCGATCCCCTGGCAAAGAATTTTTGTTTTTTCCTGGTGGTAGAACTGGGGATTGAACCCAGGGGCATATTACCACTGAGCTATGTCCACAGGCCTTTTTCAAATTTTATTTTGAGGAGCTGAGGGTTCAGTATGAGGTACTGAGTTTGATCCCTAGCCCCCCCCCCCCAACCAAAAAAAATAAATGACTAAATTAATTTTGAGACAAAGTCTCACTGAGTTATCCAGGCTGTCCTTGAACTTGCTATCCTCCTGCCTCAGCCTCCCAAGTAGCTGGTATTACAGATGTGCACCACGATGAATAAATTCTTTGCAAAGAATTCAGAACATATTGTGAAATGATACTGATCAGATTATGTTGTGTGTGAGTACAAAAATGGCATGGTAAATCCCACTATTATGTATAATTATAATGGGGAAAAAAAAGAATTCAGAATGCAGTCGATCATAGTAGTGCACATACAAAATCTCACCAACAAGAGAGGCTGAGGCAAGAGAATTCAGAGTTCAACTCCTCCATGCACGCTACATCAATGAGCACCTATTTATGCATGGGGGCAAAAAGAAATGGTGGGGATGAGAAAATACACTTACTAGCAAGCTGGTGAGTAGGTCTGAGTTTTAAATATAATTTTTTAAAAAGTAACCCAAGAAGATCCCTGGATAAATTACTTTATTTTCAAATATTGAGGTAAAATGAAACTTCTGGTTCTTGAGTAGACTCGAGGGCTTTAAAAAAAATCTACCCGTAACTTCCTCCAAAAAGGCATCTTAGTACTCACACATCCAGAGGTAGTACATGGTAGATACTGTCTTCTGAAATTCTTGGGGGATCTCCATGGAGATGTCCTGGAAAAAGCAGGGCTGAACTGGGCAAAAAGAGGGTAGCGGGGGCCAATTGTTCTGTCGAGCTGTAAGGCACAAAGAGAGCAAGAAGACCCCAGAAATGAAGCAGAGACCAATGAGGGAATCAGTTCCCCTTTCCTCCCTTCCCAAGTCCTCTGAATTCTGGGTCCAAGGAAACAAAGGGAGAGTGAGAAAAAACAACAGTAATAGCAAATGTTTATTATTATTTGCAACATCTGAGCATGGTGCTAAGCACTTTGCCAACAACTTTGTTTAACCCCCACAACAATTCTGTCAAAGAGATACAAATGTTACTCTCAATTTACAAATAAATAAATTGAAACACTCAAGATTAAGTACCCACCCAAGGGGTTAGGGGTGCAGCTCTGTGATGGGAATGCTCACCTAGCCAAGTGCATGGCATTGGGTTTAAGCCCCAATATCGGGGGGGGAGGGGGGGAAAGTAATTTGGCTAACAGGTCATGGCTAATATCCCTAAACCTCACACTCAGCAGTTTGACTATAGAGCTCATGCTCTTAAGTCTTTTTTTTTTTCTCCTTCCAAACTGTCAGAAGTTCTTCCTCACTTTACCAGGGACCCACTTACTGGCTGTGCCCCCCAGGGCAACATGCTGCAGCTCTCGCTCTCTGCGGTCCAACTCCTCTGCCTTCCGATTGAGCTCCTCCTGTTTCTTTAGCAGCTCAGCTGTGGCCGCTGCAGCCGAGGCCTGCCCAGCATGAGCAAGGGAGGTGTGAGTCCTGGAACCCAGGACTGGCGCTTCTCCCTGGCCCCCACCTGCATTCGCCCTCTTTACCTGAGTGCTGTAGGAACCATAGTTCTTGGGTTCAGTGGGGCTGAGCTTTCTTGAGGGCTGTACAGAGGGAGCTGAGGGTGGAGGCAATGGTGCAGGGGCAGGAGGCTCATAGGCTGGTGATGGCTGTTGAGGAAAAGATTTAATAGATCATCCAGTGTCTCATAACACAGGAACCTAGAATCAACTTGAAAACCTTAGAAGCAGAATTTATTACCTAAGAGCAACTCTTCTCTCAGTTGTTAGGAAGCTAGTTCTTGTGTTGAATTTATGTTAAAGGACTCTTTTATTACCTGCAGTAGTCCTGGTCACCCCTCACATCCAATTCCTTAACAATGACTGAAATCATTTTTTTTTTACACATCCACCCCCTGAACGACTCTTTTGTCGGGTATTTTTAAATTTATTTTTTGCAGTACTGGGAATTGAACCCAGGGGCGCTCTACCATTGAGCTACACCCTAACCCTTTTTATTTTGAGCCAGGGTTTAAATTGCCCAGTCTGTAATCCTGTCGCAGCCTCCTGAGTTGCTGGGATTACAGGCATGCTCCCCTGGGCCCAGCTCTCCCTTAACTTTTTGAACCCACCATTTTCTATTCTAGTAGGACAAACAGGATGATCTTCCTCATTCTTTGTCTTCTAATTGCAGTTTTTCTCAAGTCTGACATTCCCAATCTTGATTTACTTCAAGGAAGTCTCCCCAGGACTGACTTTTAGAACTCAAACCAGATTACTCCTTGGCCCTGGAGTCCCCAAGATTAGACATCCCACGGCTGACTGGTGTCTTCCCAGGAGCTGTGCTTCTTCCTTTCTCTGCATGCACGAATGTTCCCTGCACCTACACGACAGTGCTTATCATTACTCTTCCCTTTCTTGCCCTCCTGTGCTCTCCAATTGCTCACCTCCCGGGTCTCAAAAGGGTTGTAGACGTCAAGCGTGGCATACTGAGGGCTGGGTCGGTGCTGGATCACAGCTGGGTCCTGAAGGCAAAGACCTGGGCTTAGCTGGCACTCAGTGCCTCCGAGGGAACTCTTCGGGACCTCTCCTAAACTACCCGTGTCTCCCAGTACGGCTCGGTCGGAGGCACGGCTGGCCCAATACTAACTACCTTTAAGTTCATCACCCAAGACTGCCAATACCAGCCTCTTAGAGGGGCAGGGTCCGCCCCCCCCCAACAACAACAAGGGCTGACCGCTCTGGAGTCACCATCACCCCCACGTGGCGGCACCCCAAATCAAATGTCACGAGTGGGAACACAAGTTAGCTAGACCCGAAATAATCAGAAAGAATCAACCCGACCGGCCAAACGGGACCAGCGCAAATCACCTGAAAGGGGTTGTCAAGCTCTCCAGACTCGGCGAACGGGTTTCCGCCGTCTCTGCTCTGAGCCATTTTTGCAACCGCGGGCTCGACCGCCCCTGCCCTCCACGCCCCTACCGCGGAGGTAGCGGCGGCGGAGGCCCTTGGAGCTCCCTCCGCTCCTCTCGGTCCGCCTAGCTTCTCCGTGCACCGATTGGCTGAACCGACCGGAAGGATCGCCAGGATCCCCGCAGCAGCGACCGGCTGCGCCTGCGCCTTAGCCAAAATAAAAGACGGAAATACCTCACGTGACACTTCCAACACAGTCTGGGTAGCCAAGCACCGCCTCTTCCCCCACGTGATTTCCTCTTGCCAACGAACTACATTTCCCAGATGGCCTCACGTTGGGACGAGCCAGCCGGCGACGGGAGCCCAAGTTTTCAGTTTCTGGCTCTGTCCTGGAGTGCAGCCTGATGATCCAGTGAGCCCTCTTTCCCAACCTCATGACTCCAGATCAGAGAAGTGCCACCCTATAACCTCTCTCCATTTAGATCTGCAAGAAATGCTGTCCCACTCTTTACTACCATCCTGACACTAGGTGGACAAACTGGTGACCAGGCTTTATTTTAGAGGGTAAGATGGACTCCCTTCATACCCAAATTCAGAAAAGCTGCCAATTGTCTCATCCCTCCACCCCAGCATCCCCAAACCTCAAATTCCAGGGATGGGGGTCAGATGAAGCACGTCATTTTATTTCACAAAGACTGTACAAAATTCCTTATAAAACATGGGATAGGTGCCACCTGGTTACCTCACTCTGCCCCCTTCCAAATCCATGGAAGGGGGCAGGTGAAGGTAAGAAGAGTGTGGATGAACAGCATTATGTACAAGGCAAGGGTTGAAGTGATAAGTACAAGTTTTGTCATATTTACACTATTTCACATATTCACAGGTGTACAGGGAGCCAGGAGGGAATGAGTTCAGGCTCTTTAATCTTGTATAAAAAAGCACCAGTGTCCGAGACTGGACACCCACTACTATAAGAGATGCAGGGGTGCCCAGGTTCTGATCGTCACCGACTGATATCCCGACTGGAGTCCCACAACTTGGTGTTGGGTGGCTCAGCCCGAAGGCGGGTGAAGAAAGGATGCTGAAGGGCTTCACCCAAGGTCAATCGCTTAGCAGGTTCATACTCTAGCATGCTTTCAATCAGATCGAAGAGCTGGTGGTGGTCCTCTGCCTCTGAGGTAAGATACCGCTGGTGGAGGAGGGCAGGAAAAAGGTGAGACAGGAGAAATCCTGCCTCTTCTTCAAGGCCCTGCTTTTTAATCTTAGAGAAACATCTAAGGCCCTCCTTGGAACTGACTGGAATGCTTTTTTTTTCCCAGTGGGATGGAGGTACTGGGGATTGAATTTGGGGACAGTTGACCAGTGAACCACATCCCTAGCCCTATTGTGTATTTTATTAGAGACAGGGTCTCACTGAGTTGCTTGAGGCCTCAATAAGTTGCTGAGGCTGGCTTTGAACTCACAATCCTTCTGCCTCCACCTCCGGAGCTGCTGGGATTACAGGCATGGTGCACCCAGCCTGGAATGCTATCTTACATTGACCAAACTAAGACCAGCATTTCTGATATTACAGCTCCACCCACCATTCCACCAGCACAATTACTCCTTCATACTTTCTTTCTTTTGGAACTGGGGGTCGAATCCTGAGCTTTGTGAATGCAAGGCAGAACGCTTTGCTAAATCCCAGGCCTCCTTCTTACTCTCTTTCAGAGTTCTATTTGTAGATCCTTAAGGTCATGAATCTTCTTTAGCTCATTAAAATGTAAGCTCTTCAAATGGTAATTTATTCTTTTCTGTCTGACCTAAAGAATCTAAGACACTGTTTTGACATCTAGGTGTCAAGGTTATAATCTTCTTCCCTCCACAAAGCCACTCCTCTTATCTCACCTTTGTTGACCAATGGTGTCTTCTTTCAGCTTTCTTCCCTTCCTTTCCTAACCCTATGCTTGCAGAAATGCATTCTAGGGACAAACTACCTAAGAATTGACCTCTGGGTGATGGGCTCTATTTATCCCCTGCCTGGCTCACCCGCAGTGGTTTGCAGTTCTCACGAACATAGCGTCCAGCTGAAGTATTCTCATCCCAATCCAGGCGACCCCGGTAAAAATATTTCTGCTTTCTAAAGGGAAAGGGGAGGTTGAGGAACTCAGAAGGTTTTCCTTATTATAGGATTCTTAACTTATTTCCTCATTAAAGAGTAACTGGGGAAGGAAACGAGGGGGCATGGGGTTAGAAGTGATGGACATTATTATCCAAAGCACATGTATGAAGACACGAATTGGTGTGAATATGCTTTGTATACAACCAGAGAGATGAAAAATTGTGCTCTATATGTGTAATAAGAATTGTAATACAGTCTGCTGCCCATATATAAATTTAAAAAATAATTTAAAAAAAAGTGGGGAAAGGGGAGGTATCAAAAAAAATTGATATAAAATAGACCAATACTGAAAAGAGAAAATGAAAAGGGTTAAGCCCCTCCCACTCAAAGTTCACCTTGTCTTTCGGATCATCCGAGAAGGGATGGGACCCAGTATCCTTTCCATCATGGCTAGATGCTCTCTGTTGTCATGAGTCTAGGAAACAAAGGCAGAGCTAAGTAAGGGACTGACAAGGGGAAGCTGGCTGCCAGATAGACAGCAGACAACAAAATCAAGCAGAAGAATGCCAGGTAGTAGAGTAAGACCCCTTACCACTTACCTGAAAGAGGGTGAAGCCAACATAGTACTCGAAAATGATGCAGCCTATGCTCCACACATCACAAGGCTGTGACCAGCCCAACTCTGAGTGAGAGTGGGAAGGAAAAGATATTATGAGACTTAGAGGGCCCCGGCCCCACCACATCACCTCACACACCTGGATCGCCCTTGCCCTTACCAAGGATGACTTCTGGTGCCCGATAATGCCGAGTGGAGACAATGGTACTATGGTGCTCATGGTCAAAGGTGGCACTGCCAAAGTCTACCACCCGCACAGCAGTGCTTTTCACACTGCGTTCATCTCGCTTCTAGGAGCAAGGCAGAGAGTGAATGAACAACTATACTGCAAACCAGTGTTCTACCTCTATTCTCTAAGGTGCCTTAAAAAGTCAACTCTAGCAAATCAAAAAGCTGAGTCAGGGGCTGCAGTTGTAGCTCAGTGGTGGAGCACTTGCCTAGCATGTGCTAGGACCACATAAAACTAAATGGTATTGTGTCCATCTATAACTTAAAAAATTAGAAAAAAAGAAAAAAACTGAGACAGGAGGATCACAAATTCAAGGCCAGCCTGGGAAGCTTAGGGAGGCCCTAATATATTTATACTACACAAATATATTTGTGTTATGTATTACATAAGTTATATAAATTATATTTATATTATATATTTATATAAAATATAAAGCTAGGTGCAGCGGCACACATTTGCAATCTCAGTGTGTGGAGGCCAAAACAGAAGGATCCTGTGTTAGAGGATAGGCTCAGCAACTTATCAAAACCCTTTCTCAAAAATAAATAAATAGGTAGATAGATAGATGAGGGCCTGTGGCTGTGGCTCTGCGGTAGCATACTTGCCTGGCATGTGTGAGGCACTGGGTTTCTCAGCACCACATATAAATAAATAAAATAAAGGTCTATCAACAACTACAAAAATTATTTTTAGAAATTAATTTTAAAAAAGCATGTAGCTAAGAAATAAAGCACCCTGAGTTCAATCCACAGTACTGAAAATGTAAATAAATAAGTGGTCTGGGGATGTGGCTGAGTGGTAGAGTGCCCTGTCCCCAGGTTTAAAACCCAGTACCAGAAAACAAAAACCTAGACAACTATGGCATGCTACCACACACCACAGAAGATCTCCTGGTTTACTGAAGAACTTTTAAGAGTAAGGAAGCTGGCCATGGTGGGGTACACCTGTAATTCTGGCAGCTCGGGAAGTTGAGGCAGGAGGATCAAAAGTTTGGGGCCAGGGGCTGGGGTTGTAGCTCAGTGGTAGAGCACTTGCCCCACAAGTGTGGGGTACTGGGTTTGATCCTCAGCACCACATGAAAATACATGAACAAAGGTATTGTGTCCAACTACAATTAAAAAAAAAAAAAAGTTTGGGGCCACAGTACCCCTGGCATCAATCCCTATGAGCAGGAGGGGTGAGCCAGACACAGTAGTGCTGGCCTACAATTCCAGCTACATGGGAGGCTTAGGCAGAATACAAGTTTAATGCCAGCCTGGGCAATTCAGCAAGACTCTGTCACAAAATAAAAAAGGCTGGGAATAGCCCAGCAGTAGAGTACCATAAGGTTCAAACCCCAGTATGAGGAGGGAGAGAAAGATTGATTGATTATGGAGTGGCTGCAAGTCTGTATCAGAAGACTATACCCACATGATCGATACGTTGTTTTCCTGAAAATATGTAACATGTAGCAAAAGAGTCAAGAGATGGAGGGGCTGAGGCTAAGTGGTAGAGCGCTTGCCTAGCATGTGTGAGGCACTGGGTTTGATTCTCACACCACTAAATAAATAAAGGTCCATCAGAGATGGAGAGCTGCTTCTTCCTTTGTTTTTGTTTTATACTACAGATTTAACCCATGGGTTCTTTATCCCCAGGTTTTTTTTTTTTTTTTTTTTTTGAGACAGGGTCTTGCTAAATTGCTGAGGCCTTTAACTTTTGATCCTTCTACCTCAGCTTCCCACATGGCTGAGATTATAGGCCCGGGCCACCACGCCCAGCTATGGAGAGCTGCTTAAGCTCTGAGAGGTCTATCATCTCCAGTTAGTCCAGGGAGCTGAGCCTTCCTTCCTCACAGAAAAATATCTTAAAAAAACAACAAAAAAAGAGGGCATTTTCACTCTATTGGAAAGCCCTTTATCCAAGCTCTCTTCTAATTCAGGTCTTCTTAAATCTTTCCCTCCCTATTCTAGTACTCTAGTTTTACCCAGTTGGAGTCAAAGAGGAAAAAAATAAGGGAGGACAGAATGGGCTAAGCAAAGGCCAAGTGGGCCAGCCATCTACCTCCAAGGGCCAAGGACAGACCCTGTTCATCTTACCTTCTCTAGGTTGTAGGTGAGCTCATAGTCGGAATTCACAAACAGAATATTTTCAGGTTTGAGGTCCGTATGTGTCAGCTTGTTATCATGAAGGACTGCAGAGGAGAAGGGCAGGTCAGGCTTAGTTCAGGTGGCCAGAGCTAAGTGGCA